TTGGTATCCTAGGTTTTTCCAGTGCCCTTTCTCTCCCCTTTTTTGGTTGGGAGGAAACCCCACTAAATAGACTACAGAAAAACAGGTGGTACACTTATTCTATGTACTGGAGGACCTGGTGTATCCCTTTAAAGCCAACCCCCCTAAAAAAAGGGGTCCCTGAAAGAAACGAGATGCCCGCTGCTTTTTGGGTGCCTTTTTCGCCGCTGTGCTCCGGTCGTTCGCTCTCTGCGATCAGGGAGCTCTTTGGAGCATCCTGGACGGTTTGAAGTCCAACGCCACGCACGTCTCCTTTTTCTGCCGAGAGTGCGCCTTTTTTTCTGCTTCACATTTTTCTGACTCGCCGGCTTTCTTGGGGCTCCAATTTCTGGGCGGCTCGATCTTTAGCGCGAGGGTGCGCTTGGTTTGAGGGTACACCCTTTTTGGTGGTTTCAAAGGGAAGCCAACAGGAAAGCAGCTGCAATTGGGTTTTTGGGCCTCGGGCCCAAACAAAAGCACCCAAATGCATTAATGGAAGCTGATTAGGTACCTTCCCAAGAGACTGATTAGGTACCTTCCCAAAAGACGAGCCCAGCTGACTGCTTCTCAGATGAGTTGGCATGACCCCTGAGCCATCCATCCTATGTTTCCCTTTCTTCGCTGTTCTTGGCATGTTTTTTGTTTTTTTAGTGTTTTGGTTCTGTTCATATTTACTGGGGGTCTGCAAAAAACAACGTTTTTGGCTACCATACCAAGAGTAGAGATGCTTTCTTCGGGAATGCCCTTCCAACCGGTTCGTTCAATTCAGCGCCCTTTCTCGCCGTCATTTTTTACCGATGGCGCCAGCCAGTTTGAAATCACCTTTCTCAAGAAATCGAAGGTCGACTCGTCTTGGTGGTTCCCAGCCATCCGGCCCCCTTAAGCTTTTTATAGCTTTGTAATTAGTTGGTGTAGTGGTTGGGTTTCCGAATTTCACCCACTAAAAGTGAGTGGCACTAAAAGTTCAAATTATTTTTCGCAGATCTGACGACGCACAGAGTGGTGTAGTGGTTGGGTGTCCGAATTTCACCCACCAAAAGTGAGTCAAGCTCTTCGCAGCATTACGAGAACGGACAGCAGATCTTGTTGTTTCGCAGATCTTCTCGCAGGTATTGGGGCACCTCGGCCTCCCACGCCCAGCTCTCCTTGGAGAAGCTGGGCTTCCATGAGCGGCTCAAGCGCCAGGCGGATTTGGGGCTTGGATCGGATTCGGGGGCTGAGAGCGAGCCGCTTGGGCGGTTCCCTCCTCGCAACTGGGTGGCTCCCTTCGGCTTTTTGGGATGTGGGTTGGTTTAGTTGGGTGAAAAATTCGCCCACTAGAAGTGGTTCACTTTTCGAGAAGGGGATCTGAGAACAGCCCAGTCAAGAAGTGCAGGTGCCCATGGCGTTCCTGGTGCAAGGGGTGTTGGCTCAAAGCGACGCCCCGATTTCCAGAATCGCGGAATGGGGGGGGGGGGGGCGGCCGAATCCAGGATTTTGCCATACAAAAAGAAACATGTTTGTGCAAGTTGAGACCATCACCGATTTGGGGTGGGATTTTCAAAGCCACTTTCTGTGCCAAACGGGGAACTCACCAAAGAGGTCATAGGATGTTCTCGCTTGTCACAGAACGGGGTATTTCCACAAGCATGTAAACTAAGCTCGCCCATGATGAACGTCCTTTACATCGGGCTTCCCTTAAATGGGGGGTTGGAGGGGCTCGATGTTCAATGGCCCGCAAGAGCTTTGACTGCGGCACACATGGGGGAAACTTTCAAACGGGTGAGCCCACAGGACACCTTGGTGTTCGTTGGAAACCAAAACCCGGGGAATCCATCTCGAGGTCACATGACACGAGCGCCAAAACTCGGGTGTGTGTTGAAATAGGGTACCCACAATGGCAAGGGCTTCCTCTTGGTTGTCAAAAAGCCTAACCAAGCACGGGTTCCCCCAAAACGTCAGACACCCTTTTAGGGGAGCCCGGTGTTTTTTTCTGGCGGGGGGGGCTTACCATGTCTGAAGCCCTTGCGATGGGGCTATCCCTTAGCTCGTAGCAACCAGCTACATGAAATTCTACAAGAAACTAGCCAAATTCCCACCAAAATCAGGGGTTTCCTGTGAAATTCACTGTAGTTGGCTTCTTAGATCAGCCACCACGCGCCTGGGCCAGGTGCAGCAAGCCTGCGTGCTGGAGAGCTTGAGCTTGGGAGCGGGGTGCCATAGCAAGGTGGGCTGCTTCTTTAACTTTCTCAGTCGTTCAGTGGCACCTTTTTTCCGTTGTTTTTTGTGGCTGCCCCACTACAAATGGTCTTCCCCCCCAAAAAAAAGGTTCCTTTTTTTCCAGGGTCACTGAACAACTGAGTTGTTTTTTTCTTTTTTCTGTAGGTTAGGAAGCCATGGGATGGCTGTTGGGTCCGGAAAAGGCGTGAGTTGTCGTTGGTTGAGTTGGCGGCCACTGTTTTTCGTTCGTTTGGCGGTTTGAAGGGTTTCTTGACCAAGGGGGTGCCCCTGACCATTGATATTGTTCGACCTTAACTTAAGGGCGGCGTACTCAAAACCAGTTGAACATTTGGTATGGAAAACCAATGGCAATCAGTGGAAACTGAATGGAAACTATATAATTAGTGGAAACTGAAGGGGGCTCATCCAGCTCAGGTTCAACGGGATTCAATCCAAATGGATGGCCGCAACCCACCAACCTGCCAGCCAACCAACCAACCAACCAACCAACCAACCAACCAACCAACAGACCAACCAACCCGCCAACAAACCTGCCAACCAGCCAGCCGGCCGGCCAGCCAGCCAGCCAACCAACCCGCCAACTAAACAACCAACCCCACCAAGCCAAGGCTGGCCAGCAAATGGTAACCATTTGGTCGCCTCCCTTTGGGAATAAACCAGAAGGTTTGTTGATATACGGGGACAACCGTGCTCTCTAGTTGCAGTATTGTATGAGAAGAGAACACCGTGCCACACAAGTCTACAGTCGGCAACCAGATTAAGTTTCGATGTCACCATAGCTCAGACATACGGAAGTGAATCCCTGGCATACGTGCAGGAATTATTGGTGCCAGCTTGCAATGCAAGTGCTTGCAATGCTTGCAAACAGTGTGACGTTGCGATGAGGAGGACACCTGTGCGACACAGTGGTACATGTGTGTGTGTGTGTGTGTGTGTGTGTGTGTGTGTATGTATGTATATATATAATATGCATACTGTGTGTATATGTTTGTATGTGTGCGTGTCTGATATTTACAGACTTCAAGATCCCCTCACTTGCTCGGATATGTCCGCCGCGACATTTGCAGAGCCAACGAGTAAATGGTGCAAGTAAATGCAGCCGAAGTTTGCGTAAGGCTCACTTTTTTCCGCAGTAGTACACTAGTGGAAGGCAGGTTGTGCTCGAGGCAAATAATGCTGAATCAACAGTGTTCAGGGGTTCTTTGATCATGAACATTGGTTTTAAGAGTTGCCAGGTACTGTAGCTCGTCTCACCCTCGTGCTATGCTTTGGCAAAGTGATTGGGGCCAGATTGTTGAGCAAGGAACGGTAGTGGGCTGGTGTGTTGATGAGCGATTATCATATCATTTGTGAAACCCAGGGTTGAATCCATAAACTTTACTAAGCTTCAAGTGTCATTTGATCGATATACACAGGACTGCTCATTTGTATGGCCAAATGACGTTGTACTCTCAACGCGCTGAAGATTGTTTAAGCTTCACGAGTGCTGGAACGTTGTTGAATTCAACACGAATACTATCGAATACGTGTTTTCCGAGCTATTGCGGAAAGGCGCGCTTTCTGCATCACTGCCTTGTGAGCTTCATCACCGAAAGCGGATTGCCATCCTTGGGGAGCCGTCGAAGAGTTTGCCTACAGAACGCGACACGATCTGTCCATGTCATGCAGCCCTTCAAGTAGGCATGCCACTTCTGCTTTTTTGCCAGCACAAGAGTCGCGTGAAAGGGAACCGAAAGGAAAACACACATCCTGGGCCCCAAACCCCCCAAATTGAAAAAGGAAAACAGATTTTAGGAGGTTCCCCCACCCCCCCCCACCCCCCAAACCCCCCAAACCCCCCAAACCCCCCCCAAACCCCCCAAACACCCCCCAAGCCCCCAAAATGAGACCCATGGCAATGTCGGCCCAGGTGGCATCACACCTCTGCTCGGGCACCATGCAGGGGGTCTCTGTGACCATCCGCTCAAGGCTGCGGAACCTGCTGTGCCAGCCTCAGTGTGCCGGGTGAGCCTCAGGATCTTGACTTCGTTGTATGGGCGTATGTGTATAATATATGTATACATGGTTGTTGTTGGGAAACATGTGTTTTCACTTTTGCTTATTGTGATTTAGCGGAAAATCCCCACTTAACTGCTACAACTTGAATTGGTGCTCCCCTTCCAACGTCAACCAAGTGTATTAATATATGTATATATACATAAGAACATGTTTCGCTGAGGCGGGAATATCACTTCACAAGTATATTATAGCTGGGAACGAATTCCAAAGGAGAATTCAATCGAACATTCCTCCCAGTTGAATGCCGTCTAAGGCTTTTCGCTGAAAATCAATTCCTCCCGGCGAACAAGGATGTTGACTCTGCAAGGCCCCGCAAACAAGTTGCCCACCAGGCGCAGGTGCCTACTATTTAGTTACCAAAAGCTGTCGGTATGCCCTAGTTTGGAAGTGTTTTAGGTTGTCCGCACCCAGCGAAGAACGTGTTGGGTCAACCCGGGGGGAGGGTAGCCGCACTTGCAACAGACACAGTTGCGCACGTGTGCAAATCCTACTTTCTTTACCAAGAGTTTGCGAGAGGAGAGGGGCATCGCAGGGGAGGCGGGGAGGGATGGCGGGACCCAAACTGTTGTTTGCTTTGTGCGGCCAACTTGGGAATCCCTTCCTTTTCAATTTCTATCAAGCCAACATAATACTCAAGTTACTTTGTAACTCCGGGCTTCTCACTAATGGCCTTTAGAGGTCTGCATCCTGGGAAGTACGTTTGAAATGAGCAATCAGAGTAAATCCGGCTGTGGCATGTAGAATGGATAGGTGCAAGTCGGGTGCAACATATCCCACTTTGCTGGCGCATTGAAAACACATTGTATGGCATAATGCGCCCACGCACTTCTGCCTAAGAATGCATTACCCATCCGCGGCGCATTGGATGACAACTTCTCTGCCGATGCATATTCCTTGACGCTGGGCACTCTCAAACGACACTTTGCGGCCACACACCTGGATGAAACGCCATGAGTCCTGAAGCAGCTGCCAACACTCTCGATCAACACTTGGTGAGTTGACCTGGCATGGCGCAAGCTTTCGTATCCGGCCCGACAGTATCTAGCAGACTCTGTGGGACGAGTGGAGCCAGGTCTCTTTGCTGGCCATGGCCACGAGAGCTAATAACTTGGGCACGGGAGTGGGAAAGGCTCGAGAGCCAATATGTTCGTTGGCATGTTTGAGGGGTCAAGAAGCGCATGCATATATTCTGCATATCCATATGTAGGTATGTAAACACATGTAATTTATGTGCATGTGTCTCTTCAGCTTGACCCAGAATGAAGCACCCATGAATGACACAGACAGACACACACAGACACGGACACGGACACAGACAGACACACACACACACAAAGACAGACACAAACAGATACAGACACAGACAGATAAAGGCACAGACACGGACACGGACACAGACACACAGACACAGACACACAGACACACAGACACACAGACACACAAACACACAGACATACACAGACACACAGACACACAGACACACAGACACACAGAGACACACAGAGACACACAGAGACACACACACAGACACACACAAAGACACACAGAGACACACAGAGACACACAGAGACACACAGAGACACACAGAGACACACACAGACACACACAGACACACACAGACACACACACAGACACACACAGACACACACACAGACACACACAGACACACACAGACACACACACAGACACACACAGACACACACAGACACACACACAGACACACACAGACACACAGACACACAGAGACACACAGAGACACACACAGAGACACACACAGAGACACACACAGACACACAGAGACACACAGAGACACACAGAGACACACAGAGACACACAGAGACACACACACACACACACACGCACACGCTCACGCACACGCACACGCACACGCACACGCACACGCACACGCACACGCACACGCACACGCACACGCACACGCGCACGCGCACGCACACGCACACGCACACGCACACGCACACGCACACGCACGCAAACACACATACACACATACACACACTCTCACACGCACTCGCACCTGCGCGCACATGCGCGCACATGCGCGCACATGCGCGCACATGCGCGCACGCGCGTGAAAAGGTGCGCTCACGCACGCGTGCACACGCGCACAAGCGCACAAGCGCGCGCACCCGCACACAGGCGCCCACCGCACGTGCAAGGGCGCACGTACGCACACACACACAGAAACAAACAAACAAACAATCTTACAAGCAAACAAGCAAACACACAAGCAAGCAAACAATCAATCAAACAAACAGACAAACAGACAAACAGACAAACAAACAGTCAACCAAACAGACAAGCACAAACAAACAAACACACACAGACAGACATACGCACACGCACACACACACACACAGACGCACACACGCATTTACTTGTAGATGCACGGTTCATGTACATGCATTGCAGCTGTCTTCCCGCATATTCACATGGAGACCTGGTCTGCGCCAGACATGGGTTATTTCAAGAGCTTCCAATATTCCAAAGGTCCCGGCTATGTTTACCTTATCCTTCGTCGGCGCAAAATCCGTGCTGGTGAGGTACTACGTTCACGAGAACTGCCTGGTACTGTTGGATTTGGCGCCTGGTCGGCAAACCGCGGAAGGGTGAACCGAGTGCAAGTGTAGTTCACATGGGGTGAGAAGTAAGGATGCTAGATGGGATGCCCCCAACCCCTCGGGGGAATATTTGGCGGAATATGTTGGAATTGGGCGACCCCCTTTGGTAGCTAAGACACCTGATACCGGTATGTCACAAAAAAAGTCAGAAGTCTACAGCCGCCCAAAATTTCAGGCAATGGGGATTTCATCTAGTCCAGGATCCATGAGAGGTATGCCAATGGGACCAAGCTCGGGCCTTGAAAGTCGGACACACCTGTTATTATCCCCAGTATTGGCGCTAATGCTTGGGTATCAACAAACAAACAGTTGCTGAAAGGCACGGGTATCGGAATTCTTGCTTTCTGTTCTCTTTGCTGTGTAGAACGAACTGGGCAGCATGTGTTTTTTGGCTTCTTGGGATGTGTTTTCTTGAAGAGCGGCAAATGGGTGATTCTCAAAATAGGGGAACCTCAAATCGCGGCTGATTCCTGTCGGTTGCCTTTCAAATCATCCAAGGAGCGATCCACCATTTTGCGAAATCCCCAAGTGGGTGTGTGTGCGTGTTTTGTTTTAATTCTTACGGGGCCCCAAAGAATGTCTTTTTCCTCTTGGCTTCCGTTGAACACCACAAACAAGGGGTACCCACTGAAAAATAATCCGGTCTGGCTTGGCCCTTGCTATCTAAACGAGGCAGACCCTCAGAACATTAAGCGCAGTTTGCTCGCTCACTCGTTCGAGTGGTGACCGCTTGAGCTGCCATGTGTAGTAGGTGTTGACGTGGTTCGTAGTGTTTGTGTATCCAGTCGACAGGTGTTTGTTTGCTTGATGTTTCCCTTGTAAAGATGAGTTTAAACGGCGGCCAAAACAAAAACCCACCATTTTTTGGGGTCCCCCTATTCTTTGACACACACCCGCATGATGCCAACCGCAAGTTGTTTGTCCTGATAGCTTTGCGTTGACCGTAAGACCTGTGCACACAATTGAGTTGCGCAAGATTCACCTTCAGTCAGAGCTTCATGCCTTTCAAAAGGACTTGTCCTGACAAGTCTCACTTTGACCAAACCCTGTGCCAGAATGAACTAATACTGTTTCAGCACTGACTCGGTATGAGTCGCATGCGGATTTTCGATTTTTTCGAACTTTCATGTTTGGCAGGATGTCACGGCTGGATGCATCAGCAATGCCTTACGGGTCCAAGGCGTCACGTGACACGCTTCAATTACCCTGGCCTCGTTTTCAGGGGACCTCCCCCGCAACAAAAAAGAGGACAACCAATAAGAAAGGAGGTGGCTTTCCACTCGGTTTCCCTTCATTTTAAGCAATTCCACTTTTGGGAGGCCTCACACTTCTGCCAGCTAGGTGTGTCAACGTTGGCTGGCGGAGCAGTCCTGGCGCTCTACGGAGCCCTACGGCCACTGCCCAGACCTAAGCCTCGCCGAGATCGGCTTCGCTTCGGCAGTCGACCTCGGAGTTCTGCGGTTCGCCGGAGAGAAAGGCGGGGCGCCTTCCTTGGATTGGACTCGCGGTACGTTGGTGTTTTCCAAGCTTTTGAGAAGATTGGACTGGTGGCACGGTGGTGTTCCAACACGACCGCGGTGTGTTTCGTTGGTTTGTTCCTGAATTGGCCCGTGCAGCCTGGGATCCCCGCGAGCCTGAGAGTTCGTATGCGAGGCCGCGTGGTCCGAATAGGACGGCCAAAGTCATCGTGTTCCTTGGTTGCCCTTTTGGAAGCCATCCAACAAAGAGGTACCCTTATAAACACACCCACAAAAGCACACAAGCACACAAGCACATACTCAAACACAAACACGCAAACAAACGCAACACACACACACACACCGCCAAGCTGCCACAGCTGTCTTGTAGAAATCCTCGAGCCTGTTGAAAGTGAGTCATAGGATACTGGACTTCGGCAGTGGCATATTAATATGCTGACACATATGCATGTTCCTTTTTTTGAGAGTACCCTTTTGGGATCGTTTGGGATGACTTCAAAGGGACACCAAAGAGAAAGCCCTAATTAGCGGGGTCCAAGAAGATGCATGCATAGCATGAGTCCACGTGCATTGCCCATTCAGTTTTTGCGACCTTGCTTCGAGAAGCACCGCGCTGAGGCCCGGAGAATCTGAACTTGGACATTTTGGTGCTGCCTCCGAGGGACGTGTCTCGTGTTTTCGATTCGAAATCTCAGACCTCGAGAGTGGTGCCCCCTTTTGAGTTTGGGGGTTTCCTTTGACAGCTACCAACACAAAAAAGGATGTCCTACTGTGGATGGACGAAATCCATTTCGCACCACTTGGAAACCATGGGAAACCATGGTTGGTTTGGTATTTACAGGGGAATCAACATTTCTCAGGTGGTGCAGGATTTCGTCCATCCACAGTATTTTTCTCCGTTTGGCAGATTGTGTTCAATCTTAGGAATTGCTCACGTCGCTGAAGTGTTCCTTTTGCATGACTCCCCAAGGTTCCATGTGAGAGCGGATGGTACACGCCGACCTGGCCTAACATCTGACTGAGTCTCTTTGGTACTGGCGGCCCGGTTCGGTTGACTATTGGTCTGTGGTTTTGATGTTGCTGAGGCAGTGCTGGAGTGACTTCTCAACTTTTCGTGGCTTCCATTCCAGTTCTTAGGCTTCTACTTCCACAGATGTCACTCGCTTGCGAGTGACTGTTGAGTTGGGAATGTGAAGACCAGCTTTTGCTTCACCTCGGGAAGGTTCCAAGGATCCCAAGGCCTGTGCTTGCGAGTGTGAACAAGTTGGAAGGGGCTGGAATCCATTGGGGGACCAATCCCATCTAAGGTCGCTTCCAACCTGTTCTGACCTATCTTACCCTTTGTAGCTGGCGGCACAAGCGGGTCTGGGATGCGGCATTCCTTAGCGTAGTGCCCCAACTTAGAGAAATGACATCGAGGCTGATCCCTGGAAGGAACGCTTGCTTTTCCATGGTGCCTTTCAAAGGCTTGAACAAGCGGAAGCCAACAAGCCTCCTTCAAACCCCTGCCTTCCTTGACTCATGCAACCAGATGAAAGGCAACATGTCTTGCGCGCGAAGCCAAACTTGGTAGTGAGAGAAGGCCCC